CCGTACCGGAATCTGTACCGAACCGTACCGAATTTAAAAATATGGGACGGTACTCGGTACTCCAAATACATGAAATTCGGGAATCGGTACCGGTACCATTCCCGGTACCGGTACCGGTGATGTTAATTCGGTTCGGTACCCGGGATTGACTTTCGATCAAATTTGGTATTCGTGAAATCGGGAACGGTACGGGTCGGTACCGGTTCCGTCCCACTCTCATCCCTAATATCACCAAGGTCAGTCATAAAAAACTCAGCACTTAGTAAAGATATGATATGAGTCAGTAGCTCTGGAATAGATCTGGTAAGAACAATGTCATCAATATATAGAAGAATATATGTCATATGAGAGCCATGCCTGTAAATGAAAAGTGAAGAGTCACACCTGCTATGCACAAAACCAATACGTAAGATAAACATGGCAAAACGCTGAAACCAAGCGCGGGGAGCTTGCTTGAGACCATAAAGTGATTTTTGAGGCAAACAAACATGATCCGACCGAGAAGGATCACAAAAACCCAATGACTGCTGCATATACATAGTTTCCTGTAACTGTCCGTGAAGAAACACATTCTTCACATCAATCTGTCGAATGGGCCAATGGTGAGATACAATTATGCTCATAACAGTCCGAATAGTAGCCGGTTTAACAACCGGACTATAAGTCTCATCACAGTCAATATCGAGTCGCTGACTACGACCATGAGCAACAAGTCGTGCTTTGTATCGAGATAAGGTGCCATATGCATTCAATTTCTTCTTAAACAACAAAATACAGTTAATAATATTGGCATCCGACGGTCGTGGAACTAGAAACCAAGTTTTGTTAGAGATAAGAGCAGTATATTCATCTGTCATCGCATGAAGCCGGTTAGGATCTTTAAATGCCTGTAAATAATTTTTAGGGACAAGAGAGGTTGACTCAATATGCAAATTAAGTTTACGAATAGGTTTGAAGATACCCTGTTTAGCACGAGTGAGCATAGGATGTTGAGAATGAGCAAACTCGACAAGGGAGAAGGAGTGGAATCAACGACTATAGGTGGACTGACAAGAGGGGTTATTAGAGTAAGAAAGAGAAGTTTCACGCTGATCATCCTGAATCATCTGTTGTTCTTCAGAAATCAGCATCGATCTAACATCCCAAAAATATGGAAGTGGATCACGATGGCAAATATTGATGGCGATGTATCGGTATTTTGGAGAGAGTCCATTCAGCATATAGGCAACCATATTGGTTTCGGGAACAGTAGCATCCATGTGTTCAAGTCGACCAACAAGGGCTTTAATTTGATTGCAATAGTATGTGACAGTAGAATTTCTAATCGTAATATTTCGAAGTTCCCTTTCGAGTTGAATGACTTTTGAGGCCTTTGTTGTCATGGAAAACCTTTTCAAGACTTTCCCATAACTCAAATGCAGTGGCCTTTTTCTTGAATATCATATGAAGAAGGGAGATAGAAAGGGTGCCAAACATCCAAGATTTGACGATGGAGTCTGTACGAGTCCAAGCTTCTTTAGCAGCGACTGATTCTGCACTAGCCTTGTCTTTTCTTTCTCTTTATCTAATGATTCTGCTGTGTTGGGGTGAAGATGATGATTGACACCATATCCAATGCAATGGATCTCAAATAGTTCACGTCAAATGTCGTAGTTCATCTGGTCAAGGTCAAGAACGAGGGGAACTGCATGTTTAATATTGATGGAGGATGAGAGTTTATCAAAACCAATGGGGGTAGACATACTGACAAGAGCAGGATAATCGAGAGATGAGAGATCAGATCAGTCGAGGGTGAAGATACCGACAGTTAGGGTTCGAGAAACACAGGAGAAGCAAGATACGCTCTGATACCATGCAGTTAGTATGATTTCTCACATATAAACTCTTATTAAAGAATGGGTATGTATACAAAAGTACATGGATAGAGGACAATACAAATGGGTCGAAAGAATACAAAATAAGATATACAATGAATAATAATCATACTATGCTAACAAGTAATTGGATCACACTCAAATTCCAATGGATAATCGAGCTAAAGTAGCTGAACTGATCCAATGTTCATCAAATTAGATATCAAATATCAATCCAATAAATATCCATATATCGTAATGATTTTGCATATTTGAACAATGGTAGTTGAAGTTGAAGACGTCAAGTTTCGTTTGTTGATTTTATTTAGTGTAATTTTGTGTAGTTTAGTTATAACTATATGGATAGAAAATGGATTTGAATTGGTTAAATAATGGATGCCCATTCAAATATATCAAACGAATAAACACATCTAATCAAATATTCAATTAGATCGGTTCAGTTCGATAATTTGATTGGATCGATTCCATCACAATTCATTGGATTTAAATAGACAAACACCCTGGTTATCTTTCTTTCACATTTTTTGACAAGTCAAAAGTTTATGAATTTAATTCATATCAAACACAAATAAAAAGCATCATATGTTATCATACAAGGTAACAAAGTGACCTCTTAAGTCGTAATCTCGAAGAAATAAAGTTATTATTGCAAATTTGCAATAATGGTGATAAGTTGGTCGCCGTGGCAACGTATATTTCACAACAAAAACACGCAGTTAAACACCCAAAGAGAATTACCCCCTTCACATATCATCAAACAAATCTCGTCGGGAACCCAAAAATCTCATCTTTCTGCCGCCGCATCTCTCTTTATCCATCCCTCTTTCTCGGCGCACGAACGCACTAAATCTTCAACGCCACAACAGCAACGGCGACGGCGACAATGAGATGGGACGAACTGGAAGGCGATTTTATGCATCACAACGACGAACAAGAACCCCAACAACAAGACCAACAAGACTCTTCGTATCTCAATTTCGATACCCTCTCTCTCATTTCTAAGCCCAAGGTAAAATTTGCTTTATCATTTCGTCTTTTTTGATGTTTCTGTTTATGGAATTTTACTTGATTCTATCAGTTCTTGTGATTTTTTTGTTAATTTCATATGCTATTTGACCGATTTTAGGATTATTATCGAATACTTGAGGTGGATTATGAGGCTACGGAAGAAGAAATTCGGTCCAACTATATTCGTTTAGCTCTGGTTCGTCTTCTCTCCCTCGTTATCTTCTACTCCCCTTTCTGTAGTTTGATCCTTGAGATGAAACATACTGACTTCCGACCTTAAAATCGATGTGGATTTCGGAATGTTTTTATGTAATTTCTTCAAAAATCGAAATCCAGCACGATTGATCGGGTGTCTGATTCTTTGAGAAACCTAATCTTTCAGTTAGTGTTTACCTATTGATTAAACCCCGATTTGGTTGTTTTCCATGTTTTTGGTTTTGGATATGTGATCTTGATTTTAAGAGCTTTTCTCTTGGACAGAAATGGCATCCAGACAAGCAAAAAGGTGAGGATAGTGCCACATCCAGGTTTCAAGAGATAAATGAGGCATACAAAGGTTGGCATCTGTATAATTATCTTGAAATTCCGTTCATGTTTTTCATGTTCAATGGCAGTTTCACATATGTTTTGCAGTCTTCACTTTATTTAGCTCATAAGTGAACTTTTTTTGGATCATTATAGCAAACTCCCTTGCTGTTTCTTTTTATCTTAATGGACTTTAAGAGAGCTAACCTATATATGAAGGTTTCTTAGCCAATCAATGCATATCATCAGAAACTAGAATTTGCAGTTTTGATACAAATGATCATATGAATTTTATTACGTAACAATGATCTATTCAATGCTTTAACATCAATGCATTTCCATTTTTGCAGTTTTGAGTGATCCAATCCGTAAACAAGAATATGACAAGACAGGAATGCTATACCTCTATGATTACAACATTGTGGTAAGCAATAAGCATCATCATTCATTACTTTTACTTTTACTTTGATTCCATAGTTCCTCTTCAATTGACTGAATGGAATGGAATGGAATGGAATGCAGGATTACCTTAACCGTTACAAGGGCCTTATTTTAACATGCAATGGCCTCGGGATGAAGACCTCAATCTTGTGAGACACACACGCACACTTTGGTACATATGGTTGGTTCTTGAGGCTGTTGATCTTATGGTGCTGCAAGAAGTAATGAATTTGCAGTTTTAGATTTATTACTTACTACTGCAACTATTATGTAAAGCTTTGTATCATGCCAATCGACTCTAGTTTTATGGTTAAAAAATCTTTTAACACCCTTTTTGATTGTTTTTTTTTTTACTAAAATTAAGTAGCCCCATGATATATAGTGCTTAGTAGTGTAAGAGTTTCAATTCCAATGTGGATTGCTTTCATCTATAGTGTGCCTAATCTATAGTGTCACATGATGCTCTTGGGAAGGTTGTTATGAGAGACTTTTTTTTTGGATTTTATTAAAATAAAGTCAGGATGAACACCGGTACACAAAGTAATTTACATCAAATCTTGTATTTATGGTAATAAATACAAGATTTAATATACATTCCTTGTGTTGAGTGATAGGAAAAATAAAATGAGATTAAGGAGAAGAGTTGAAGCGGTACCTAAGTGACAAGAGGGTTGTAAAAGATAGACTTCCTCCACCCTAAGAAAATATAGAAACTAAATGGAAAGAGCATAGTAATCTAATATAAAATTACGGGAGGAAAACAATAGTCAAGAGAAAATACATTTATATATATTAAAACTTTAAGGCTAGAGGGAGTAGTGTTAGTCTTTTGCTCTCACTTAGATGTTACATTTGTTTTTTGTTTTTGATTATTATTTAAAACAATATAATTTATATGAAATAAAATTTTCATTAAACTTAACTTATTGAATTGTTGAACCAAAAAGAGGACCCACTTACATAGCCGTTGACCATCACGCCCTCTTGTACATCGACCCATATATGGGTCAAAGCTACCTCTTCTACCGGGGTTCAAGAATGAGCCATTTTGAAAGAGGTTTATAAGTGTTGATGAGTGATGAAAAATAAAAAGGTTGTTGGTATTTATTTTGGTTGAAAAGAAATGAAGTCACATTTGTAATATCTAGAATACGTAAACTATTTAAATTACAAAAATAAAATTCAATAAACTATTCCAACACTAACTAAACATGTCAAAAATATGCCATATTTATTGTGTTCAAAACTTCAAATGCTACTACTACTTCCACTTGTACGACATTCTTCTGCTTTCATTTGTACATCACGCATCAAAACCTGTCAATACATCAACAAGTTCAAATGCTGCTTTTACTTATACATCGTGCATCAAAACTTGTACATTCAATCTCAATTTTCACCATTATTCTTGATTCCCTCTATTAATCAACCCATCAAGAACTTCAAATGTACCCAACAATCTTCTCCCCCTACACACCACCTCAACAACCCGACCCCACACTCTCAACTCCGGGTTAAACCCCATCACCGCCAACGCCGCCACCACCGCCGCCGCCTCCTCACCCCTTCCACCTTCACAAAGCCCAACCACCAACTCATTTGACGTGGCAAAATGAGGCACAAATCCTCTACTCATCATCACACCAACCAACCCTGTTGCCTTCTCCAAATCCCCTAATTTAATCAAAGAATTCAACACAATCCTATAACTCGACTTATCTAAATAAACACCCGTTTCATAACTCAACCTCTCAAGCATCTCAAAAGCTTCATAAGTTCTATCAAATCTACATAACCCCACAAGAATCACATTAAAAGTAATCGTGTCCCCTTTACAATCATTTTCCTCCATTTCTTTCAAAACCCTAATCCCTTCATCAATTTCACCCGCTCTACACATACAATTAATCAAAGTGGTGTACAAAATTTTATCGGGTCGTAACCCGACCCTTTTCATTTCGTTAAAAACATTTTTCGCTTCTTTTAAATCGCCTATTTTGCAAAATCCGTTCATTAAAGTTGAGTAGTTGAATACATTTGGATTGCACCCGTTTTTTGTCATGAAGTCAACTATCTTCATGGCTCGGTCAACCTTTCCACCCTTACAAAACCCGTTAATTAGAATGTTGTAAGTCAAAGGATCGGGTGTGATTCGTTCTTTTGAAACCATTTGTTCGAAAAGATCGATTGCTTCTTCGAGTTTTCCACTTTGGCAAAAACCCTCCATTAGAGTTGAGTATGTGATCAAATTAGGGTAAGAAACTTCTGAAAGTTTCATCTCTTTTATGACCTCAATAGCAGATTCAAGATTTCCATTCTTGCAATGATGTTTGACCAAAATGTTGAAGATGCAAGTGTTAGGATGTAAATCGAGGGTCTTTTTGGAATCTAAGAGGAAATTTCTTGCTAAATCGACCTGATTTGAATCAACCAAAAGATTTAGACAGGTGCTTACGGCTTTTAAAGAGGGCTTTTCGCGAACAATTGGTTGGATTTTATCAAACATTTCAATAACCCTTTTATGAAGTGAAGATTTTGAGAAATGTGTCATGAGATCAAGGAATATACTTTCATGGAATTTGCAGGTTTCATAGCTCATTTGATGAAGAATGGAATCGACTTCTTTGAAGTTTTTTGAGCGTGCGAGTTTGTGAAGGGTAATGGCGTAAGTGGAGTGGTTATGATTGAAACCTCTTTGATTAGCAACTGTTTTAAAGATTGTAAGGATTCGATGTGGATCTTTCTCACGTTTTATTAATCTAATGGCTGATTCATGAGAAATGTATTTAGGGTTTTTTGAGGTTTGTGTGATGGTGGTTGAAGGGTCTGGTTTTTGGGATCTGGATTTTGCATAAACAAGGGGGGAGATCCATGGAACTATTGAAGGTTCTTTAGAAAAAGAAGTAGAGAACCAACGTATCTTACCCATGTTAAGGGTTTAGGGTTTAGATGAAAGTTCTTAGCCACACCAACTTGAAGTCCTAATAATCTAGAGTCCTGCAAGGTTACACAAGATACAAGGTAAAATTGCAATTGAAACTTGGATACTTAAAAAAGAACACAAAATTCATAGCAATGGAGCAAAAGTTTCTTTTACAACAATAGACGAAATTGAAAGTTGAGAGGCTAAAATGGCATCAAGTATCAACAGAGATCGCTCGATTGCCGTTCTAGATTGCTCGATTACATTGTCTGTTACCAACAGTGGCGGATACAATACTATGGGTAGGGTTTTTATTTTATGAACAAAATGAAAGAATCCATAAACTACAAACTGAAGAAGCACATAAGAAGAATAAGGAATCGTAACCGAATATAGTGTGGATAATTTCGTTTCTATTGCGTATATACAGAGTTAGTAGAAGCAGATGTGATGTTACCTTGATTATCGGATGAGAGGATTGCAACAGTAGCTTGTATTATCAGATGACAAAACTTGAGAAAAGAAGGATTATAGACAAGAGAATTCGAGCAGGGGAAGACGAAGATGATGAAACGAGACCTGATTCCACCAGCGTAACTGCGTAAGTGGAAAGAAGCATCCTGAGATTTGGGCGAACCTATGGAACTGGAGTACTTGAGTACTGGACCGCATTATGGGGCGTTTGCGATAATAATTACCTCTAACAAAAAGTGAGATATTAACCATTTAATAGAAGTCCTTTGTAATTCGTTTCTATTGTTCAAGTTGATAAATATATAGGATATATAACGTAATTTTTAAATGTTTATAAAGAATGTTGATGACAAGTATATCATAAAAATATTAAAATAAAGTTTTGGGTAGAAAAAAAAATAAAATTTGAAAGTGTATATTGCTTGATGCAAAATATAAAATTTGTAAGTTAAAAGGAACCATAGATACAATAAAAGTTTATAAAATTTATATAAATGAAAGACTACAAGATAATATAAATCAATCACGATTAATTGTCCAAACATATTAAATAATGTTGATAATAAGAACGTATAAATTTTGTGAGTTGATACGAAATAAATAGTATAAAAATGTATAACTTTTAAATAAATCAGGAAACACCATATACGATAAATGAATCACAATTAATTGAGAAATTATAATAATAAAAAGTAATATTCATAAAAACAAAAAACTATAAAAATAAATTATGTAAATGACCAAAAACATAACTTTAAAATATAGTAAGATACCAAAATTGCAATTGATAAATACCATTAATTTAACTTTAAATTAAGGCTCATCTAAAAAAAAAGAAAAAAAAAACTTATATATCGTGAATTTTGTATTTTTTTCCTGCTTAATTTTTTTTAGATTAACCCTTAAATTAATTTAAGGGTTCATCTAAGATTTTTTTTTAGATTAACCCTTAAATTAATAAATGATGAAATTTGTTAGATTAAAATTCTTAAAGGGAAAATATAAATGTGAAAATTTGCTATGATCAATAGACAAAATCTCTATTTCAAAGAGATTCTTATTTTACATCTTATATTATATGCTGGAAAAATTGTAATGTTATTTGATTTTAGTTATTTTTAATATGGAAAAAGAAAAACCAAATGAACAATAACTAACGCGAGTGAAACCTATGTTTTTAAAAGTCGGATATATAAATAAAAAGAAAACTCTAACAAGAAGCTAGAGAAAAACAAGAGTACAATTTTAGGCTCAAAATTGGGTTTGTAAGAAACCCAAGAAAAAAGAAAATGTCATTATATCGTCAAACAATTTATCCTTTCTTGGTTTAGAAAGATTAAACATGAACTTATTTCAAAATCTCCAAATGCACCACCACATTGCTTTGATAGTCACTTTAATAAACCGAAGACAGTGCCAAAGACTTCATAACATAATGGAAATATGCAACCAACATGAGGCTTGAAAAATCCATTTCGCAAACATACCCCAACAAAAATATCTTCCGCTGGTTGTCAACCAAGAAGAACATAGTTTACGGACTCCATAGACGAAGAACAAATCGGACATAAAATCGAATGAATCTCTAACCCTCTCAACGTAAGATTTTCTCTTGTTGGTAAATGATTCAGAATAACCCTCCAACAAAAAATGTTAACTTTAATATGTAGTTTATTACTCCAATACGTCGATATAGCAACAATATGTAAATAAGCTGCTTCAATAACAAGTTTAGTCTCCTTCACCACGAATAATCACCATCCAAAGTCGAATCTTAAATCCAACGATTTAGACTATTACAGAAATTCACATGCACTAATAAATCAATTAAACACGTTAATTGACAACTTGTGAGTCCTACTAGATCTAGTTTCCAACTCAAACTCTAATCATTATGTGCACTTCTATCTGATAGGTTTTCTATATACTTTCATAGATTATCAATTGATAGCGGAAACATATATTTTAATCTAAAGCAAACAAACAACTAAAACCTACAATGACCTAGTCGGACAACTACAAAAGGGATCAAAAATTACTAACCTTTAGCAAAACTAATTTGCTTGGAGAGCCTTTGATGTAGAAATCGAAATCACCAAGCCAAGGAAGATAACAACAAAATTAGATTGTCTCTAATGGTTTACACCCAACATTTCCAAATTGTTGATGTTAGAAGATTAACCCTTAGAATAATAGAGATTGACTAAGGAGTTAATCAAGAGAAAAGAGAAACTTAAATGTTTATGCTCAAATGTCATATGTTTATGTGAATCTCCATAAATTTTATGGATCATGAATGCCCTGTAATTTTGAGAGATAAAGATGAAGAGAGCCATAAATACCGGGAGGGAGAGAGAGAGACTAGGATGGGTTGCTTTTTTTCATTTTTGTCGATTTCAATTTAGTTAAGAAAATATATAAAAGAAATTAAAATGGAATAATAAGTCATTTCAAGTGGCTTAGGGATCAACCACGCAAGTTTTAGAAACCATAGGGGACCATTTATATAATTTTGTCAAATCTATATAAATAATCTTTAATATTAATAGAGGGTATAATTAACACGACCGGTGATAAAACTAGTACCTCACATAACATGATATTATTACCAAATTGTGCTTATTAGAAATAAGATCTATTAAAATAAAGACAAAAGTACGAATCCAAAACCAAAAAAAATCCAAATCTTGTAGAGGAATTATTGTTGGTTATGGATTTCAATTTTGGCGCAACGGTTTCTAGTCTTACTTACTGAAATGTGAGGTAAATCTAAATCATACTAGAAAATGTTAGGATCGGTAAGATGAAGAAAATCGAAAGTATACAATACATACATGGAAACTTTATTCAACTTACATATAAGAAAAAAAAATTGAACAACCATAATAGGTCGTTATAATTTATCCTGATCCTACCTCAACCTCTAATGCTTGCGGAGTCGCAATAGCAGTCTCTTCCGAGTTTTCAGTTGAAGTCGATGTGACAGTATCAGTATCAGTATTAGTATCAACAGAAGCTTCTGAATTAATTTGTGGGACTGAGACTGGGACTGAGCTCTCTGGTGTTTCGGCTGAAGTTGATGACATGACAGCATCTGAAGCTTGTGTTGGGACTGAGCTCTCTGGTGTTTCGGCTGAAGTTGATGATGATGTAACAGTTTCTGAAGCTTGTGTTGGGACAATTTCTGAAGGTTTAAATTTGGTAATGTAGTAACTAAGGGAGGGGCCCGCATAATCGAATGTTTTTATTGGAGGGGGTGAGTTCTTCCCGACTTGAAGGAGTATCACAGATGCAGCAGCAACAGCAATAAGGCCTGCGAAACCAACTACGGCTGCTGTGTTTTCGGCTCCATCTGCAGATGTACCCGAACTCCCTGAGCTGATTGCACTCTCCGCCACGTAAACTGCAGGCTGCACCATCACTATCAAATTATTATTCCTTTTTATTACATGCTCATGTTTGGTTTAGATTGTAGGATATGAACCATTTTTTTGTATTCTATGTAATTACAATGGATAGTTTTTAGTGACAAAAATATAAATTAAGCATAATACAAGCTCCATTGAACTCAACTAGGAATATAATAACAAAATATATATATCCTGGTTAACATGTACAAATTAGAAATTATAATTTGGCCAAACTCCATAAAAACCACTCTAATTTATTTTCAGTTTAACCACTGAAAAAATATTGTGAATTTAACACCGATTGTTTGTTTTATTTAAAAAAGCCAGAGTTTTCTCGGGTAACGAACTGCAAAAACAATTGGAAGATGGTTTTATAGAAAAAATATTATTCTTAATGGTTAAATAAGATTAGTTTTTCTTCTGATTCGTTAATCCGAACAAATTACAAACTATAGTGGTTTTTACAGAATTTTGAAGTTTTATGAGTATTTTTTTAGAATGAAAAAAAAAATCAAGTACTGTACATGAAATTCAATTATAATCTTAAAATTTATGTTACTAAAAATTAAAGCAAATTGTGAATTTTCATTTCATTACATGAATTGTTTTTGTAACTTTAAACATGTGGTAAAAAATTCTTGGAATTACTAACCTCAACCGAATATATATTTGTTTGGCCAGCTGTGTCCTTCTCAACATATCCACTCCATTCACGTCTACGAGGTGGGAATGTTCCCGCCACTTTGGTTTTCTCCCCGGCTAACCACTCCATGCTCACTTTCCCTACCTATTTTTCCACAACCGCTATTTATCAGAATTTACTAAATCATCATGCCACCTATGAAACTTCCACTTACTTCAATATATTTCTCTAACCAAAAAAACCGAAAACATGTGTGTATTTGTTAGACCTTTGTTTCTTACACAGAAGACAAAATTGGCAATTTCTAGTCTCACCCAAAAAGTGAGACACCAACTTGATATATTTTGTTTTGTGCAAAAGATAATAAAGGACAACTTCTACATCTATTTTCAATGAGGAGGGCATGCATGTCCTTTGCATATACACGAGAGATCAACTTATTCAGTCCAATGCATATCAAACACAATAGAAGACCATCTGTCATGTTTTGTGGTCTAAGGCTCCAAGATGTTCGCCTTGTAAAAAAAATTAGGTGTATTATTATTATTATTATTATTATTTTAAATCCATACTTCACAAATAAAGGTTAACATCAATACCCCATCTTATTCCGTTATGTATATCCGAAAAATGACATTTATTGCATTTTTTGTCCCACGCAACTAGGTGAAACAAGTTGGGGTAGGGACGTGGTCTTGATCTCCCGTCTGTAAAAAAGACGTAAATGCCCTTCTCATAGAAACTAGCACTAGAAAACTTGTTTACTCCTTTCCTATGTAATAAACATAACCCAAATGAAACAAAATGAATGCATTAAATCTTAGATATATAGAACGTAGTGGATATTATTTGAAACTATGTATGTAGTGGTAGGTAGGGGTGTTCAAAAATATCCGTATCTGAAATTCCGATCCAAAATTCCGAAATTCTGAATCTGAATTATCCGAAAACTCGGATATCCGAATTTTCGGATATCTGAAATTTCGGATATCCGATTTTTCGGAATCGGAATTGGATAGTGTTTTTTAGATTTTTCGGATAATTCGGATATCCGACATCCGAAAATTTTGATTTTAATTTATACATTATTTGTTATTTTAATCACATATGTCTTATAATATGAATGTTAGTAACTAAAACATATTCATAATACCCTTAATTAAATACATATATTACTTCATATGCCTTTTTAATTTAAAAATATGTCTTTCTAATATAAAAACTTTCAAATTTGAACAAAATTTCAAATTTTCGGATATCCGTTTCGGTATCCGAATCCGTATCCGAACTTTCGGATATCCGAAATTTCGGATACGGAATCGGATACCAAAAATCAACTATCCGAAATTTCGGATATCCGAAATTCGAATATCCGAATTTTCGGATATCCGGTTATGAACACCCCTAGTGGTAGGAAGCTTGAGGATAATCAAAAGGGTAATTGCGATGGGAGTTATATCACTCAATCGATGTGGGATTAGATGTAATGTAATTTAGAAGTTTGCAAATAGATGGATACATTTTATAACCAGAGTTGAAGAATGATTTTTACTACCCCATCCATCTGGGATGAGTAAACTACAACAACTAAAAATCAAGTAAAATAAGCTAAAGAGATTCGAATCCCAAACCATAAATTCATATGTTCAACAGCTTAACCAACTCGCCATGCTACTAATTGTTATACAACTACACATATTTTGGTTTTTGAAAAATTAGAAACCAAACCATCAGTTTTATGTTGGGTTTCAGTTTTTTGGTTTTTTGTGGTTTTTAGTTTTTGCTTTTCCCTAATGAAAAGTGCTTAGGATTAGGTTGAGATTGTTATAGAAGTATTGATTGGTAATTTTTTCAAAATAGAATAGTAAATGCTATAATAAACATTTCACGTGAAAGTAGATTGTTATTTCTTTTTTATACATTCAAAGTAGATAGGAATTTAAAATTATGCCAGTAAATGTTGATAATGACTCATTCCGAATAGCATGTAATAATATAGATTGAGGTATTAGCGTTGATGTAAAATTCATGATAAAATCAGTATCAGTTTGCCGGAGATATATTAGGGTAGATGTTAAATTCATTATAAAATACATATTAAAATTTAAATTTGAATTTAAAAGCACTAGTAACAAAAAATTGCTCAAATTGGAAGTCATTTTGTATGGGAATGCAATTCTAAAACAAAATCCACCTCTTGATTATTCTCAAAACAGATTCAATAAGAGACTACCTCTTTGTCCGGGGCGCATTCTTCAACATTGCAGTCTTGCTCATCGGAGGAAGCTCGAATTTTAAAAAAATTGAGATTCTGCTTCTGCTGCTTCCTATAGGGATCGTTGTTAAAGAATCGTAACCTCATGTTTGTGCTACAGCTGTTTGCTGATAACGCAGCAGCAGATGAAGCCATTTGATGAAATTCAAAGCTTCGCTTGTCTTAGGAATCAATGATAAAGTATGAATTAGAGGAATAGTTGTATCAAATGTTTGTGTTTGTGTTTGTGTAGCGATGGTGGTTTGGGATTTCTTTTGAGAGTGCGTGTGGCTAATATTTAGCAGTCGCGCTGTCTTCTTCTCCAGCGTCGATTGCTTTTAATCGGTCTGACAGCGACTGCTGGGACCCGATCCAATACATACCGCCAAACACCTAATCCCACAGTATTTTCTCAGTCGCCTCTCTTTCTCTTTCACAACCACCATCACCATGCCGGAAAATTTAACGAGAGAGCAGTATGTGTACATGGCGAAGCTTGCGGAGCAAGCCGAGAGGTACGAAGAGATGGTGAAATCAATGGAAAAGCTCGTCGTTGCGACGACGCCGGCGGCTGAGCTCACCGTCGAGGAGCGTAACCTTTTATCAGTCGCCTACAAGAACGTTATCGGCTCTCTTCGAGCGGCTTGGCGTATCGTCTCATCGATCGAACAAAAGGAGGAGTCCCGAAAAAACGATGACCACGTCATGCTTGTCAAGGACTACAGATCTAAGGTCGAGGATGAGCTATCGGATGTGTGCTCGGGAATATTGAAGCTCATGGATTCGCATCTGGTGCCATCGGCATCTACCGGTGAATCGAAGGTATTTTATTTGAAGATGAAAGGAGATTATCATCGGTATTTGGCTGAATTTAAAGCTGGAGATGAGCGAAAGGCATCAGCAGAGGCTACTATGAACTCCTATAAAGCTGCTCAGGTAGGTTTTGTCTTCAATCCTCAAGATCTGCTCAATAATTTGATTTACCAAGCTTCTACTTTGTTCAATCACTTTTCTGCTTTACATATGTTCGAATCTTCTAATTGAGCTTGAAGAACAGTAGATTATATAGTCTTGTAAACATATTGTTGTGTGGTGAAGGATATTGCACTGGTAGATTTGGCTCCAACACATCCAATAAGATTGGGTTTGGCACTTAATTACTCGGTGTTCTACTATGAGATTCTGAATTCATCTGACAAGGCGTGTAGCATGGCAAAACAGGTAACCTGGATACCCATTTGAATTGTTTTTCTTGATTTCTTCTAGTCTATTGTGAGGATTTAATGTCTGTTATTGCCTGTTGCATCAATTTCACATTCAAGGATCCCTGTAGATGATGATTCTGCAGGGGTAATTCACAACTAATTACAGAGGATTCATAAATTAATGGGCTAAATGGAAGAAATAGCAACATAATTGTATTTATTTATTGGTTGTAGCACCCTAATAGCATCTTCAATGTTATTAGGAATAAGGAGTTTGCATTTTAAAAATTCTACACAATTATAATACTAAGTTCAACTTATTAAGAAAAATAATTCTTTTTTATAAACACGAGGTGACTCTTCTAAACGGTATCAAATTACTCATAAGATTGTAGTAATGAAATTAAATTGGTTGTAAATTGAAATCATCCAATAACCAACTTCCATTTGTTTAAACGAGTTTACATTTACTTATATTTCCCTTTTTTTTTTATTCCCATATGGGTAGGCATTTGAGGAAGCCATTGCTGAGCTGGACACTCTGGGTGAAGACTCGTACAAGGATAGCACTCTAATTATGCAACTATTGAGGGACAATCTCACTCTTTGGACTTCAGACGCACAGGTTTCAGTAAATTTTTGTTATGTTTAATATATTATTTTTATAAAAAAAAAAAAATAGATTAATTATAATTAAATAATGTACTATAGTGGAATGACTTGAGACACTTTTATGTTGGGTGTACTACAGGACTTGGATGAGCCCTAAATACTTATGGTGTTGAAGACTGGAACATGTATGTCATTGACTCATTTCTATGATGCTAACTAATTCTGTCAACATTATCTGTTTTGTATGCTGAAATCGTTTGCTAAATGCAAGAAATAACAACATACTTGTATTTATTTGTGTACTATAGCATCATACTTTCATTTCTTCCTATTATTGCATTGTACTTTCAATCTCTTTCTTGTGTAAATTCAACCCAACCCGCTAAATAAAACAGTTTTTTTTAACATCCCAAGTACGATGCTGGAATTGGAAAAAAAATAAAATAAAAAACGGAGTAGGATTCTGTTGGGATATCTGTATGCAATTCTTTAAACAAATTATGAAAGGAATAATAAATAATTATGTGACCAGTTGAAATCATCCCTCGGCCCCTTATAAGAGGATTTGATGCCAATTCAAATAAAAAGTTGTGAGGTGGATACCTAGTCACTGTTAGAGTGGTAGCTGAGTAAGCTTCACTTTAGCAGCCTTGGTCATCCTCAACTTTCCAACACATAACCAAACCCGAAACCAAATCTAGTTCAAAAAACCCATAATACTAGATGAAGATGAACAGACTCTGCGTTTAGGATTAAAGGTTTTGTTTCAAGAATCTGGGTGTGAAATCACAAACTATTTCACATTCGGAAATCTTGAATCCAGATTGCAAAAATGTAGCTTGTCAACCTCCATCTGGTTTGAGTTATACATACAAGTGAAACCATGAAACTATCTTTGGTGGGGAATTCAAAATTCAAAACCAAGAAAAACGTACCCAAAAAATGATAAAAATATACTAATCTTTAAACCATATACTGATGCTCTAGCCCAAAAAGTAGGCACCTTGAAGCCTCATTTGGAAAAAGTAAAAAATTGAAGCTCAAAGATTGATCGTTGGGTCCTATAAATCTAGTTTTTCTAGATGAACATATGAAAAACCCACCAAACAGCAAAAATCCTCAAAACCAGAAGCTTTATCGATCCATTGCTCCAAATCGCAGATTTTTTCTCAAAAAAGTACAATTTAACAAACAATCGTTATTGCTTTGCGATTTAGGGGTTGTGTTATACATAAAGAGAGAGTTGAAATTGGAAAGCGAACCAAAAAAACAACAAGACCATTGGTGCAATTTATTCTACAATAGGCGAATTAACCTAAAATTCCTCGTCAAAAAATCAAACAATTAATTGGTATTATATAAGTCTAATATATACGAGGAATTTTAGTTTAATTCGCATATTATTCAAAGTTTAGAGTTCGTTGAATAGATCTTGCATCTTGGGTTTGTTGAATCGACTTGCATCTGGTATACTGCATCAAAGACGTTTTTTTTCATCTAATTTGTAGTAGATTATTTGCTTCACATATTTTTATTTATTTATTTATTATTATTATTTTGCAACTGATTTAGATGTTTTTTGGCTTGTGAATGGATCATGCATTTGGTGTATCTCCAACAAAGATGAAGATAGCAGTCCCAACAATAGATTTTCTGGGAGTAGTCGTAGGAGAAGGAACCATAAGGTTGCAACCGCACATCATAAAGAAGATTGTGAACTTCAACGAAGAAGAATTGAAGACAAAGAAGGGGTTGAGGTCATTCTTAGGAATCCTTAACTATGCTCGTAATCATATCCCAAAACTTGGGATACTATTAAGGCCACTGTACGAAAAGACAAATGCTTATGGAGACAAAAGATTGAAGCCTTCTGATTATGAGTTAATCAAAAGGATCAAGATGCAAGTTCAGAATCTCCCAGACCTTGAGACACCACCTGAAGATGCTTATATCATCCTAGAAACAGACGGATGTATGGAAGGATGGGGAGGTATAGTCAAATGGAAGAACAAAAAGGAAGGACCAAGAAGCTCAGAAAAGATTTGTGCATATGCAAGTGGCAAGTTCTCAACAACCCAATCCACAATTGATGCTGAAATCAATGCCTGCATCAACACTCTGGAGAAACTAAAAATCTACTACCTTGATAAACAAGAAATCACTTTAAGGACAGATTGCCAAGCCATTATTAGCTTTTACAACAAAGCTAACAGCAACAAATCCTCAAGGGTTAGGTGGATAAAGTTTGCAGATGCAGTCACAGGAACACGCGTCAAGATTAACATATTGCATATAGAAGGGAAACATAATACACTAGCTGATTCTCTCTCAAGACTTGTTAACCTTTGTTTTGCAGAATGCACAGGAGAAATGAAACGGTTAGCAGCAGCAGCCCTTTACTCAGTGGAGGAAGTTCTACAATCCCCTTCTGCCTCTCAGAAGAATATGAAGATTACTTGCGAAGAAATCATGAAGACGTTCAACCACTCCCAATAATCTTTACTAAAACAATCTTCACACTGGAAGAACCAGGAGCAATGTACAGACAATACCAGCTTAAAGCCAATCAAACCCCAATCAGAATGGATAAATCTGATGCATGGAGATCAGTCGTCCAAGATATCGAATTATCAGCAGCAAAAGAAGCAATCAAAGCAATGCGAAATTTACAAGCAATCATACAGTGCAAAGCTCAAGTCTTCTTTGGAAAATCAACAAGAGACAACCATTGGTCTGACCAAAAGGAAGATGTTCGAATCCAAAACAAAGAAGCCCGAAGAATCCTCATCGAACTGGAAGCCCTCGCACAACGATTGGGCCGCAATAATATCTAAGCCCATGGAAGTCCAAGACAATAACCAAAAAGAAAACAAATGCCGCTACAACAGCAAAGGATTTCTAGAAGATAGTGACAACAGTGATGACAATTCAATGTTTATTGTGGACCCCGGGTGGGATGATTATTGTCTAAAAACGATAAAATTGAATCGTCCCATGGATCCATACCTTTATCCAAAAGCTAGAAGGGCCCGTATGTGAAATTATTTCACATATCACGGGTTTTCAAAAGTTGAGTTGTTTGGATGTTCAGAAGTCTTCAAGAAGTCCCCACCACTTGTTAAAAGTATCTTTATAATTATCAAGATTGTCGGCCAAGCATGGCAGCTTGAAAAAGGCTTGCTAATAAAAGATCTCACAGATACTCTTAAGATAATCGATCAACTTAAAGCTGAACAAGTAAGGCTTGAAGAACAAAAGAACGAAGAAATAAGAAGGCTGAAGGAGCAACTACAAGAAAGGAAGGAAGAAGGGGAAAAGCCTCAATTCCCTAAAGAAGAATTCCCACCGTTAAGCGAACTTCATGTAGCAAGGCCCTTCATGGAAGCAGAGATTCATTACTCTGAAAATGCTACATCAAACCCAAAAGTTAGGAAGATAACTAACTCACTTTACAACGTAAAAGTTGAGTTTGATATCCCTAATTGCCCAGCATTCGGGATCGGCGCAATAATAGACACAGGAGCATCAGCATGCTGCATAAACAAGAAGGTTATTCCAGAAGAAGCACTTGAACCTTTACACCACAGTGTTTTCTTTAATGGTTTAAATTCAAGGCAGCAGGCAACTCACAAAATAAAGCAAGGCTATTTTCTCATCGAGGGAAACAAGTTCAAAATTCCCCTTATATATGCATTTGATATGCATGACAGCAATGGCATTGAAATGCTGATAGGTACCAACTTCCTAAGGTCCATGAAAGGAGGAATTCATATAGAAGGTGATGAGATAACTATTTATAAGAAGGTTACCAAGATCAAAACTTCAGAGCAATCTGAGGTTGCTGAAGTTGCCATCACTGAGCTTGAAATTAGTGAAGAAGATTTCTTTGAAATAAATGAATCTATTTATTTCAACCAAGAAGGTAACAATGCATTCCTAGACTTGTTATGAAGATTACTTGCGAATGCACAGGAGAAATAAATGAATCTATATATACACTAGCTGATTCTCTCTCAAGACTTGTTAACCTTTGTTTTGCAGAATGCACAGGAGAAATGAAACGGTTAGCAGCAGCAGCCCTTTACTCAGTGGAGGAAGTTCTACAATCCCCTTCTGCCTCTCAGAAGAATATGAAGATTACTTGCGAAGAAATCATGAAGACTTTCAACCACTCCCAATAATCTTTACTAAAACAATCTTCACACTGGAAGAACCAGGAGCAATGTACAGACAATACCAGCTTAGAGCCAATCAAACCCCAATCAGAATGGATAAATCTGATGCATGGAGATCAGTCACCCAAGATATCGAATTATCAGCAGCAAAAGAAGCAATCAAAGCAATGCAAAATTTACAAGCAATCATACAGTGCAAAGCTCAAGTCTGCTTTAGAAAATCAACAAGAGACAACCATTGGTCTGACCAAAAGGAAGATGTTCGAATCCAAAACAAAGAAGCCCGAAGAATCCTCATCGAACTGGAAGCCCTCGCACAATGATTGGGCCGCAATAATATCTAAGCCCATGGAAGTCCAAGACAATAACCAAAAAGAAAACAAATGCCGCTACAACAGCAAAGGATTTCTAGAAGATAGTGACAACAGTGATGACGATTCAATTTTTATTGTGGAACCCGGGTGGGATGATTATTGTCTAAAAACGATAAAATTGAATCGTCCCATGGATCCATACCTTTATCCAAAAGCTAGAAGGGCCCGTATGTGAAATTATTTCACATATCATGGGTTTTCAAAAGTTGAGTTGTTTGGATGTTCAGAAGTCTTCAAGAAGTCCCCACCACTTGTTAAAAGTATCTTTATAATTATCAAGATTGTCGGCCACATGTAACAAATTAAATAATGGCCCTTGTTTAAACGTCATCGCTTACGTTTTTATTCTTGTCCAATAGTTTGTAAGCCCATCTATATAAGGGCATAAGTTCTAAGTTTGGGATCATCGAATCCATTCACCTACAATCACCACCACCACCATTGTAACAAAGCTTCCGCAGTCTTTTAATAAAAAGGTGTGTACTTTAAAGTTTTAGTTTTTGAGCTTTAGTACAAGATAAAAAATTCCTGACAACGTAATTTTTATCTATGGCATCGAAGCTTTTCTTTATAGTAGATTATTTGTTTCATAGGTATTTTGGGAATTGCAAAGATATTTTCTACATGTTTTTATAGTCTTGCTGGAAAATAAGAGGGGTAGATAATCTGTGTTTTAAAAATGGATTTGAGCAAACATGGTCAACTTTCAGATTTCATCAAGTTCTACATTGATTTCTGGAAGAGATGAGGTGATTGGCTGGGCGGCAGCAGTAGCCAGTGGTGATTGTCGGAGGTGACAATGGTCCACAATGTTGTCAAAGGCAAAATAGTCTTTTTTTATGTTACCAACCATGCAACAAAAAAATTAAAAAGTTGAAAAAAAATATTGATTTTATTATTTTGTTTAATTTACTACAAATATTGATTTTATTATTTTGTTTAATAATTTCAAGCAATGTTTGCGTTTTTTAAAGTAAACCATGTCCACGGGGTGCTAGGCTTGCCATCAATCACACTCTCCCTTCCCTTATTTGTATGCGGGTCACAAAATCTGGACCGCTGACCCGCCCGGACTCACAACCCACATAAAATATGGTAATACGATATCACAATGTCCATATATATAGCATGGAAGACGATGTAAATATTAAATAACAAGCCCAATGATCTTATTTCGTAACTACTAGATTGATTAGGGTTAAAATCATTTTCATAGTAAGACCATTTTTACAGACAGAATTCTCACACCATATGATAAATAATATATAAAATAAAGAAAATCACAATTACAACTCACTCCCTTGTGCTGTTTTTGAGCCATTCCAAGTAGGGGACACTGCCACCAGTTATAGGCATTGCAATCACTTCAGGCACTCTGTTTCAAGTTTCAACATCAAATAACTTTTTATATATTTAACCTTATTTATTTTTTCTCAAATAATCTTTAAACATCATTCATCCTTACAACACCAAATGAAAAATAAAAAAAAAGAAAAAATCACTTACTCGTATTCATGATTTGCCTTCACATGCTCAGTTAGAGCACTCAAAAGGGATTCTCTAGTTTTAATTATCAGCAGTTCCTCTGAATCTGTTTGTATCTGAAAATTCAAACACAAGAATATTCAACTCACTTTTATGTATCGTGAATATAAGTCAGTATATATAGTCATTTTCTCAAATATTTTATATATTATTAACCAACAACACTAAATGGGACAAAAAAGGGCATAAGTCAAAATAGAAATCGTACCTCTCCTTCCCACAGGTATACTGACTCGATGCCTGTGATTGAAAATAAAAGGTCAAAAGGTCAAACTTTTATGATATATGCTATTTAAGTCCAGATATATAGAATCAGATGTATCTTATTATAAGGATTAGGTTTTTTAGTTGCATTATCAATCAAATATTTGAACTTGTTGAAGTTGAAATTCATAAAATAGCAGAAAAGATTCTAAAAATTTATATCCAACAATACAACTGATCGAAGCAAAATGAAATCTGGAAAGACATTAGAAAGAGTGAGTGAGATACCTGGTACTCTGTTGACACAAGCTGCAAGTTTTTCTTTGACAATACTTGCTGCTAATTTCTTACCTAAACAAAAGGAACGCACGAAGCATAAGAAAATCAGCATTCAGAAGTTTGGAACAAGTATTCCTAAGAAACAATGAGACTGTAAAAGAGTTTGTATCCGTTTTAAAGCAACTTGATTCCTTTCCACAAATCAAAACAAAAAAGACTTGAAAATTTGTTACTATCTCCATAGCATGATTGGAAGAAAACATTTTTATAATCAGCATAAATAACCCCTTGTATAGAGTTTGTAATGTTAAGAAAGTACCTCGATAGCATCCATTATAAATTTATAATGCATAAATCAATCAGTTTCATCCAAATGCAAACTTCGCAGTGAACAATAACAAGAGAATCGAATTATCTGCAACGAACCTGCCTCTTTGTTTGGTACAGTCACGTACACAACGATACTTGGCACAGTCGTTTGATTTGATGCTTCCATTCTTATACCGCTACTACGAAATCCCTGCGTTTTGCTACCGAAACTCAACCTAAACCGATTGAAGATGTTAGCAATTTTTTCAAGTCACTATAAGTCTATAACACGCAGATAGATACAAAAGCGAATTAGGGCAAAGAAGAACCCTAGGAATTGGAGGAGCAGAGAGAAGGGTACCGTGATAGGGGATTGGAAGAGAGAGAAAGTGATGGGTGAAGATTGTGGAGACCTAAGCTGAACAAACAAAAGGCACCCACTAATGGCAATCGCCGACGAACCGCCGACGATGAGACGATCGGAATAAGCGCAGAAATGGACATTTTAAAGCTTTATTTTGATTTTTGATTCCATTTTGCATTTGTGATTGTCTCAAAAAAATTCAGTTTTATTGGGCTGTTTAAAGCCCAATGGGCTTTGATATGGGCCTAAAACACGTTAGCTGCATATTGACGGTCTTCAAACTGTTAAATCTTTTGGAGTATTGAAAAACAAACCAAATCCTATTTTTTTTATTCTAATTAGAGATACGGCTTAAATAAGATTTTTGAGATAAAAAATAAACTAACCAAACCATAGATAAATCCAAGCGAACTTTTCTTAAATCCAAGCGATCTTTTCGTAGGCGTTTGCCCCCGATCCAATCAGGGGATCAAATTGATTATAAAAACATGAGTTTAATTAGTCGATTTATTAGTGAACAGAGAAAAATATTATCTAGACGAATGAATAGATAGACCTTGAAACAACAACGATTAATTACTATTGCTATAAAAAAGCTCGTATCTTATCTTTGTTGCCTTTTCTTAATAATGAGAAACAATTTGAAAGAACCGAGTTGACCACTAGAACTCCTAGTCTTAAAGCCAGAAAAAGATAGGTTTACTCTTTATTCACTTGAATTCAAATTCTCATCTGAACTCAAACGGGGATTGATATTTTGTTGGAAAAATCCAAGAATTCGGATTGAATTCTCGTGTCGTAAGAAAACAAATAATAATCTAGGAAGAATAAATTTTTTTATTTAACTTGTTGATTCATATTTATTTTGACTACTTTATCATATTCTATTCATTTTTATTCGACTTTCCCGGAGTTCATTCTCCGGGCAACTCCGTTTAACCGGTGGATTACTTCCAACCTACTTCTTTTATGATCTCATTGGAAATCATATAAAGACAATTCCTATTTGATATAAGCTATTTGTGCAAGTATTTTACGATTAAGAAGCAACTATCTCTTGTACAAACCGTTTATTAATCTACTATAACTATAGCATACCCCCCCCCCTTCCCGATTCGGTCTCTTTTCGGATCAGTCTCGAACAGTTTCGGGCCGGACTTATTTGATCCCGTCTTACGGTTTTTCCGTGCACATTTTTTTGGTTTTGTTTCTATTTCTGAGTTTTTTCGGTTCAGTTTCAGTATTTTTGATTTCAAGTTTTTCCGTTAACTAATAGTAACACCAAAATGATAGATTAAGATTTATTAAAAACAATACACTTAAGTTTAATAAAAGAAAAAAAAAGTTAGATGATGTGTGATTAATAATTATATAAATTAACACAAAAATGATATGTTTATAAACTTTAGTTACCGGTCTTTTTTGAAACCGGATTAGTCTTGTGTTGGTCTCAAAACGATTATGTCTTTATTGAGATCGGTCTTTTTGTACAGTTCTACTGAGTTCTAGTCTTTTAGAGAAACCATCCAAAAATAGTTGTCTTATTTGTTGATTTAGATTGACATAATCCATTTCATATTTCCAATCGTAATACTAGAAAGAAAATTAAAATAATACTTTTTAGCATTAAAATGATAGTTAGTTGTTAAGATGTCATATAAGACCATCCCCAACCTTAACGTTATATATTTACACTAAAGTGATAAATATAATGCAAAAATAATGCAACAACTAAATTCTTTCCAACCCTTTATACTATACTTAATGCTAAAAAAACATTCTAAGTATATTTTATTTTATCTGGCTTTTATAACATAAAAGATAGCGTTGATGAATAACATAACATTATATTTATCAACGATTCAACACTATATTTAATAGTATGTTTAATGTTATATTATTAACTAATTATAAATAATGTTAGGTTTATTGTCACATTAGAGCTAAAAATAAATTTAATATAAGGTTTAGTATGGGGTTGAAGATACCTTAAAGTAAAAAACAAATATGAATTTGAGATTTAAGAGGCTCCTTCATGAACAATCAATGACTCACACAAACATTTACCGTGAATAAATTTATTTAACCACAAATATATATCTATATCGTTCATTTTACCATTTTTCTTAACAAAATGATCATGTACCTCGTGAATCGTCTTCTAAAATAAAATAACACTATTAATAGTTTGTGCTTAAATAAATTTATTCATGGTAAAATAAATGTCCCTGTGAGTCACACATATATATATATATATATATATATATATATATATATATATATATATATATATATATATATATAAAGGTTCATTTGAGACCACCTATATTTTGTGAGACATGAGGACCAAATTTTAACCTTTGATCAAAACTAATCTTGTGGCTAAAAAAACCTGGACTAAGGTGCCTAATTAAGTTCTTAGGGGCAGTTTAGTCAATGTTCTAATCATAATAACTAGTCATGCTTTATCCGCCATTCATCACTTAACGTAACAAGATGTCGTCCCATTCATCTGATGATTTTCTCAATCGCAACCAAAACGATCAAACCCTCCACGGGAAGCTATCTCTTTCGTCTGATGAACTCGCAACTAATAGTATGACATCAGGGGCGGAACCAGAAATTTTTGTCAGTGGTAGCACCAAAATACCATGTTAATTTTTAAAAAATTTTGAATTTTATAGCAATGAACTTTCAGTTTTTTGAATGTTATAGCAACATACTTTCTATTTTTTAGCCATTCATTGTCAAAATACCATTTTTATTTTTTAACTCAATAAAAGGGAGAACAAGTAAAATTACATGTATATGCCATGAAGAAAAAGGATATTCCGGTTGATCTCACCTATATAACAAAAGATCAACTAAAAAATTCCTCAACTCAAGTTTAACCCTCGTGTAAAAAAGAGATCAACTAAAATTCATTTAATTTACTTAAGAACAAATTCAAGTGGCCATTACTGATTATATTCTTTTAGGAATAACAAGCTATATACTCTTTTAGATAAAATAAGTTTTTTTTAAAAAAAACTACAAAAAAGAATTCACTAAGCATTTCATCAAACAGTTTATGGGCATACAAAATATGAAAATTTATGAAGAACAAAAAATGTGGTTTATGAGTACAGATTTGTGAGGCTATTTAGAAGTTTCACACAAGATGATAACCTTATAATTTCGAGTTGCAAATCAAGTACAAGAAAGGAAGCGTACACAGGGGAAGTGATTAAACAACATTACATGTTATAGCTAGATGCTAACGTGGAAATCGACTACAACTCTTGCTTTATAGAAATCGAGTAGAAAGAAAAGAGCTGGTATGGAGATTAATTGGTACTAGAACTAGATTAAAGCCCTTGTTTACAGAAATCAGTTATGATTTTGATTATTCTTGCAATTTGTGAAGAGGGCAAAACCGGTGAGCTCTTTGAGTTGCACAAATTTATTTGAGTAGCATCTCCATACATACGATTGATCTGTTTTCTTCTATCTTCTTCTAAGGAATTTTTGAGGGGTGGCACGGGCTACCTCTGCCAACTAACTGGTTCCGCCCCTGTATGACATTCAAGAACTTCAAGTTTTGATTGTTAGTCTATTCAATGATTTTCATCAGTTCATCATCATCAACAAATCGATCATCAATTGATATTGATTTCCAACAGTTTTCAAGCTTTAATTTTTTACAATCAAATCCGTGATTTTAGCAATTTATCATCATCTTAGATGTATTCTCAATTAGAAGCTTTGATTTAAGCTATTAATAATTTGTTTCAAGATGTGTTTTTTCTCCTGTGCATTCAAGCACATATTACGTAAAGAAAAGCAAGCAACAATAACGAATCTTTGAGCTAATGTGCATTCTATCTATAAATTAATGAGGTATGTACAAAAAATTATTATTATTGAGCAAATTCTCTTAAACTAAAAATGCACTCTATCTGTTTGATGAAAGTCCTGAATGAATAACGAGTGTGATGTATCACTCCCTCCTTCCTACAACTTAAGTCCACTTTAAGAATATGTGTATACTTACAAAATATGAGTCACAATTGGTGGAAAATGATATAATGTTTGCTTCTCATATTAGCTTCACTACAGTTTTGTTTCAATATGTTTTTTTTTTCAAACACGAAAGGTTGGAGATTGAATTTAGCATAATTTTGTTTAAATCTTGATAGAATTGTATATTAGTATGATTAGAATAATAGCATGTTTTATGTTTTATTTTAAGTATCATGATGTATATTTATGTCAGTTTGAAAGATTGGTGCTTATATCGTAGGAAAATATCTGATCATGTTGATGCTTGGAGCTTGGAACATGTTATATCATTGGTTATATATTTTTTTACTATCTTAATGAAAGGTTCAGGTTAGTCACAGTCCTCCTAATTGCATGTCAACCAGAAGATGCATTCGCAAGATTTGCATGAAATAGAATAAGTACTTGGTCTTGTTTCATTATATTGTTATTAGACTAGTTGTAAGACCCATGTATTACATCGGTTAATTTATTTAAAAAAATTATATATAAATGTCAAAATATTTGAGAACTTTGAATTTAAAAGAAAATAAGAAAAATAATGAAAATGTTTTTTATCTTTTAAATTTAAACAAATAATTTAAATAAATAAAAGAAACTAATGAGCTTTAATTTTAGAATTTTTGGAATTGAAAGGTGAGCTTATTAATGAAATTGATATCAATTAATTACACATTTATTGCAATTATTACATTAAAATTGAATTTAATAAAATAGAAAAACTCATAAAATGACATGTGAAAAAAAATTAATTCAAAATAACCATAAAATGACATTTGGCAAATTGAATGAGAATGTTACAAGTGACAAAAAAACCTTCATTTATTAGAGAGGATTACATAGTACATAGTGTATTATTCTGATTAGACTACTCGAAAAGCATTACTTATATGTCATTACTTATTTATAATGTTTTTTAGAATATAATTTTGGAAATAGTTATACAGTAATAAATATTAATGTCTGTGCTGAAAAATCTTACTAATAAATGAAATCATTTCAGGTAATTGTTCTTTATTTTGGATTGCAGATATTATATTATATATATATATATATATATATATATATATATATAATATTATTAATCTAAATTGATTTTTGTTATTGAAATAAGCA